AACGTTGTTTTAGTATATAGAGAGATTCCTGAAAAATTCGTGTTTTGTGATTGGGTATTATATCTAGTATCTGAAGTTGAATAGAGTTGAAGTCATGGTGTTTAAAGTGTTCTAATTCTGCTGTATTAAGTTGTGATGGTGTACTTATTTTAATGTTATTTTTTTGTGCGTTGAATTTTTTGATTTGAGCTCTATGGTTATTGATTCGAAAGTTAAGATTGTTTTTAGTCTGTCCTATATATTTAATATGTCAAGTACCGCATGTAATCATGTAAATACAGTTAAATGTTTTTCATAGAAATTGTTTTTTGGGTTTACCTGTAGCAGGCATGGCGTTAAATTTTCAAGTTTTGTCATCTAGTGGAATGACATTTAGTGATTTCAATATGAGTTAAACTAGCAAGATATAAAAGTAAGGAGGCTGCTAACCTTCAATACAGTAAAGTTTTTGTATAAGAACTTTAAAACTTAAAAAGGTTGGAGATAATATATAAAGTGGGTACATTAGGTAAGAGATAAATAGCGCTAATAGCTGCTATTTAGCATATCAAATGTTGTATGAACTTAAATCCATTTAGTGCGAATACAAGTTATTATTACTTGCGCAATTGCTGCAAAGTTAGTTAATAATAATTTATTTCCTAAACCGTATTGATTAATTGATTATATTATCTCCTAAGTTTAATTAAAGTAGAATTATTTTAAAAGTGTGCATCCATACTGGTAAGTTATATTTTGAAAGATGTTTTGAAGTAATTTGAAAGCAAAATGTTAATAATGTTTTAACGGGGACTGGAGTTAAATCATCACGAAGAATAATATTACAATTGTAAAAGTAAAAATTAAAACATGTAATTATTGTCATTGATCGGAAATTAGTTGACTTTTCAAGGGGAACAAACCAACTCCCGTTCAATGATCAATAATTGATAGAAATACGTAAATATGAAAGTGTTTCGTCTTTACTCGAGTTATAAATTAAAGCCAAACCGGCAATTCTAGTCAGGCCAAATATTTCCGCGAATAGTTGTTACTCAAAGAACTGATTCTCATGAAGCATTTTAGTCAATTCAATTTGGAGTAAAAATCAATTACTGTAGAGAAATCTTGTAAAACTCGAGTAATCGTCCCCGACACTATCATCTTTATGTATTTGAGTACTATATTATTTGTAGAAATTAAACATTGGAAATTGTCATTATGAAATCGAAATCAAAGTAAAGTTGAAATAAACATAGAAGATTATAAAAAAGATAAATAATGCAAACTTTGCAAAAACAAATCAAAGAGAACATAAAAATAATATAAAAATAAAATAGAAAATAATATAAATAAGATCAGTGAATGTACATGAAGATATAAAGGCCAGAAAGGTATTAAGTAACTTACATTCTTTCTAGTGGGGGAGTTGGCAGTGTGTTCTCTTCGTGTCTGACTCAGAAGTGTAGGGTGTCCGAAAATTCTTAGCGGCAGTAGGGGCTTTGAATTATATCAGTCGGCAAGACTTGGGTGAAGAAATTTATGGTAGTGGGTGGGACTTGGAATTCTTGAGGGATGTATTTTGTGGAGTTCTTATCTGAGAGAGACCGTCTGTTAAGATTTTTTTAAAAATACCATGTTTCCCTTCTCAACTGCAGAGTTTCTTCTAACAGTATCATGAATTTTGTCAAGTTAGAAGAACCATCTACTTCAGGAAAAGATTTAACTGCTAATTCAACATCAATAAGTGTAGAAAATAATAAAATCAATTCTTTTCTTTTCAAATCTGAAGTTACGGATGCAGAAATATTGTGGGCTTTTAAGTGCATCAAAAGCCACTATTCTTTTAAATCGTGCGATGATATTGGGCCGTTATTCACTAAAATGTTCCCGGATAGTTCCATTGCAAAATAGTTTTCATGTGGTGAAAAGAAATGTGCTTATATCTGTTATTTTGGTCTTGGCCCTTATTTTAAAACTTTGTTACTAAAGCATTGTAAAAATGCTGAGTTTTTTACATTACTATTTGATGAGACTCTTAATCTGACAAATCAAAAGAAGCAACTAGATATTTATGTGAGGTACTGGCATCACGAAAATAAGGTCAGAACTCAGTACCTTACTTCTGCATTTATAGGGCATGCAACAAGTGAAATTATTTTATCCAAATTTTATGAATGTGTTGAAAAACTAGACTTGTCAAAACTCTTACAAATATCGATGGATGGTCCTGCAGTAAACTGGAAATTTTATGATTTATTGCAACAGGACTTGACAAAGGAATATAACATTCAATGCTTGACATTAGGGACATGTGGTTTACACATTCTTAACAATGCTTTCAAGCATAGGATGTCATCCACTGGCTGGGACATTCCATCATTCTTATCCTCCTTATATTGGATTTTTAAAGATTCTCCTGCAAGACGTGAAGATTTTTTAAGTATATCTGGCTTAAAAAAGCTACCTGTGAAGTTCTGCTTTTACCGATGGTTGCAAAATGTCCCAGCAGTTGAAAGAGCCATTGAAATATGGGATGACTTGCTACTGTACATTAAAGAAGTTGAAATGGGGAAGTTTTAAAAAAAATTCATCGAAATCCTTCTCAAATATTTTGGAGGCAACTAAAGATAAAACATTTCTTATAAAATTAAATTTTTTTTCTCTCTCTGTCGAAAATATTATTGCCTTTCCTTGAATATTATCACAGTGATAAACCACTTATTCCCTTTTTTTGCTGAAGATATCTTAAAACTTGTAAATGATTGCCTTCAGCACTTTAAAAATTTTGAAACTAGAATATTCAAAAATAACTAAAGCAGAAAATCTTTATAAATTTAATTTTAATGATCCAAATTGTTATAATGATAAAAGTAAAGTTTATTTGGGATTCATTGCTGAGCAGTTAATGAATGATAAATGCCGCAAGAAGGACATTTCACAAGCTGAAAGTTTTGCATTGAAACAAGAAGGTCAACAATGTGTCTTAACAATGGTACAACACTTAATGTCTAAATGTCCAATAAATTATTCTCTTATTCGAAATGCATCTTGTATAGACCCGCGATTGATGGTTAAAAGTCCAGAAAAAGCCCAGAACAAAATGAAAATAGTTCTAACGGTATTAATGCAGAATAAACGTGTTTTACAAGATGATTGGGATGAAATTCTGCTGCAGTTTGGAGAGTTTCTAGACAAAGTAGTTAAGACAAATTTACATGAATTTTCTACTTTTGATCCTCAAAATCTTTCTCTTGACACATTTCTCACTTCTTATTTTCATGATTTTCACTATTCAAAAGTATGGAAAATAGTGAAAATGATTCTTATCTTGTCACATGGACAGGCCTCTGTGGAAAGGGGCTTCTCTGTAAATAAAGCAATTGAAATTGAAAATTTAAGTGACTCATCATACATTTTTCAACGCACAGTATTTGATTACATAAAATTTTCTGGAGGTGTTCTTAATATCGAAATTAATAAAGAAATGAGATCAGCAGCAGCTTCTGCAAGAGTCTAAATATTTGCAGTATTTAGAAGAACAAAAATCTTTAACTAAATCTGAAAATTCAAAGAGGAAAAGAAATATTATTGAGGAAGAAATTGATTATATGAAGCAGAAGAAAAAATTTCTTCAAAGGGACATTAAAGATATTAATGAAGAAGTAGATGCTTTAGCAGATGAAGCTGAGACCAGCAGGAACATTGATTTGTTTATCAAAGCAAATGAACTTAGAAGAATAGTTAAAGAAAAGGAAATAGACATAAATAAATTAGATGTTAAAATAGCTGAAAAGATTTCAGATTTAAAAAAAGCACAAATGTTTTGTATCTTTTATTGTACAGTTTATTATTCTAGTATCTTTCAAAAAACCAAGGAAATAAATTGTATGTTTACAAATCAGTTATTTTAATCTGCAAAATATTCTTACATTGTGATTATAATAGTAGTTGACTGTGTTTTAAATAAATATCAAATAAGTTAAATAATAATCATGTAAATCTCTAAAATAGTGACTGTTATTAGTGTAAAATACACTTATACATGTTTTTTCAAGAAATTATGTTCCTAATTTAATGTTATCTACTTCATAACTTGTAGGGAGTTAGTTTAATTTTCAAAATTGTTTTATGGTAAGTATTAAAGTTAATTTAATAATGGTGCATAATACACACTTCTGTTAGTTTCTTAAAGTGAAATTACAAGCATGAAGTCGGTTGTATGGATAATTGCTTTATTCTATTCATTTTTTTGTTTGCTGATAGGTCCTTAATTTTTTCTTTGATGGTCCTTAAAAGTCCTTAATTTTCATGTAAGGAAATGTGTACGAACCCTGGAAATAAACATTCGATTCCTCCAAGAAAAAAGCTTGTGCTAAATATTCTCCTTGTTTCTCAACCTTCCGAATCTTTATCATTCACCTCTTGCGGGGGGGGGGACGTGCAGCAATGAACTGAAAGTTGATCTGTCAGCACTATCCTTATCTTCAGGGCAGATGTTTTGATTTTATTCGGCTCATAATTTCTTACTAAATGTGGTATTTCATCACAATGTACTCTGTCTTTGATATGATTTAAATCAAATTCCTCGTCATTCTAAATATCACAAATACACATCAAATAGTTTTCTGGTTGCAATTTTCTAATTTCGCCTATGCGTAATGTATGCTTTACGCATGCGCGCATTGAAAGAAATGTTTAATAAAGTAAACAAATAAAAATTAAGCCTCTTTTTTTTTTTTTTTTTTTTTTTTTTATACCATTTAGATCATAATTGCTCTTTATTTCATAAATTACGGTTTCATATTTTTAATTTTATAATTTCTGCATGCCATCTTATCAGATTTAAATTGGTGATCTATAATCCGGAAAAACCGATAATCCGGAATCAAAGTCCCGACGAGTCCAGATTAAAGACTTTTGACTGTATATATATCTGATGACTTTTATTTTTTAAAGAAAATATCAAAGGCTGATATGTATTTTTATAGTTTTCAAAATCGTTTTAATTTTCTCAGCAGAAAGTTGCTCGAGATGAATCTACATTCAATCATGAATGGTTTAACATCTTATGAAAAAACTATTCAAGATGAAGTATCAAAAAAGTAAGTTTTTTTAATATATATATATGAATTAATACATTGTTTATTTCTATAGTGAATATGTAAATGAAAATTATCTCCTATGAAATGCAAAGTGAAATTTAGATAGTACTGGTTTCATAGGAAGATACTGACTTATCAAGGGGAATTGGAACCTCTCCATACAACCACCAACAATTCATGAGGAGTGTGTTTATTTTGTCATTTTGCATTTCTGAACAAAATTCCAATTCCAGTTTTAAATTTTCTATTCAGTTTTAGAAATTCTGAATCAGAATCTTAAAGAAGGTCAGAAAATGTGAAATAATTCCCAGGCACATGGATAGACAACTAATTGCAATAATTTCAAAAGTAAATATAGTATTCATGCAGAACAATACTTAAACTAAAAAATATATGAAAAAATGAAATGAAAATCAAGATGCAAATGAAATGAAAGAAACAAATAAAAGTTTAAAAAAAATGGAATTTTTACTTATCAATAGGTTAAAATTAATTTTAAATTTTACTTACATTTTACTCTAACCAGCTCTAACCAAGTAGATTTCAGAATGGTGCTATCACAGCAACAAGCATTAGGTGCTTAAGGCTGCCATGAGTAAAGTGTCTCATGACTTAGGGCTGCCATGAGGCTGTGTGCAACTCTTTTTGTCACTAGCATTCTATCCACTCTTGACATGAAAAAATTTTGTATGAGTACTGGCTCGTAATAGACTGAATGCGCACACCCCAATAATAGGTTGGTAAAGTTTATTTTACCAAAAGAAACACTACACAGGTCTGGAACTTTCCACAAAAAAAGTAAAGCTTTCCACAATATCACAGAGTACAGTCAGTAGTTACACTTCAATCTACTGTGAATTAAACACAAAGCAAGTCTAAGCACAGCTAAAGAACAAAGCTAAATCGCAGATAGTACTTGGAACTCACACTGAGCTAACAGCTAACAACAATAACAACTGAGAGCAGATACTGTCCCCGGCCTTATATAGTTTTTCACTTAACCGCCAAGGTATTTTTAGTATTTTCTGCTTCTCGAAATTATCGAATTACAGTTACTTCTAATGTAATGATCAATTATCTTTATTCAATTACAATACCTATTACAGCGATACAGGGACCGGACCAATATGTCGCCAATTTGGTGACTTCTCACCAAATTTGATGACAAAAATTAGTCGCCAAAACCATTGCCAGCTTGGGGAAATCTCACTAAATTACCAAGATACCCATTAACTCAATGTTAGATGTACTTGCATCTGTATTCTTACTTTTCCGGTATAGCTAGTCTCTTTAGATTTTTCATATTACATTATACAAAAGAAATACAACAATTTGACTTCTAATTTCCCTAAGTACAAAATTCATAACAATATTATATGTGGGGTAAAACTATGTACAGCCAGCTGCTTACAGCCAAACTGAGGATGTATCAATACTATTTTCATTACTAAGTCTCCAATATATGCTTATAACTTTTAACCTTATTGCTATCTAGGTTTATTGGGTTTCATCCTTATAGTATTATATTATTTTTATTAAAATCTTTAATTTTAGTCACTCTTAAAGATTTCTGTAAAACATTCCATTTCTCTAAAACCTTCCTACTTTAAATACAAAATAAAAATAAATAATGTAATATAGAGTTTGAATTGTGTTTTGAAGCTTATTAATGTTAACCCAGCAAATATTCATTAGTTTTTGAAGTTCTTTCTCTCTCATACCAAATGAACTTCACATGTGGAAATGTGTTTCTAATTTTTATACATTTTCAATGGAATATTTCTTTGATTTGTTTTGAAAAAAATTGTTTATATATTTCTGTAATTTCTGTTACAGATTTTTTGAAAATCTTTCAGTGCCACATTGGGAAAACAAGGAAGTTCAGTCTTACTGGGAAAAGATGAAAGAAATTAATACATAATATTTAGTTTCTTTTTTTTTTTCCTCTCTCATTTATGTCTAATGGGGTGTTTCATTTTATAAGGCAAAAAATAAAATGTAAAATTTTTGCAGTCTTTTTTAACTTCCCGAGTCGCTGTGATGTAAAAGTTATTTTTGCTAAATTTCAAGAACATTGCACACTTTGATCAGTTTTGTAAAAGTAATTAAAAAATGCGACTTTTTAATGTTCATTACTTTTATTGGGAAAACCAGAAATCACAAACTTAAAAATAATATTAAAACCAAATGCTAAGATTAATAGGTAATATGATAGGCAAAGCATGTGTTATATTAATGAACATTGAATGATGCAGTCCCTTCTTTTGTTCACATGGTGGAAACATTTCTTTGATGCTCAACTACCTTCAGCAAGAATTGTTCTATTGCCCATCCCTGACCAAATCGTTAAACTTTTTAATCAGAGCCTCTTTCTGCTGTATCATCGACCACCTCAAGAGCATTCACATGGCTTCTTAGAGAATCATGCTAGTATTCTGTCATGTCGAGGATCCCAAACCATTCAAGGCATGTCTTTGCTTTATTAGTAATGAAATAGCTCAGGTATTTTCCTTCAAAAACTAAATTTTTACCCTGTAATCTTTTCATTTCCCTTTTTCCTTGCAAGCTTGGTTTCTAAATTTTTAGTTACATTTTTCTTATCAACCGGAATAATACAATCGTCTGAAAATGCCAATCCTACATTTGTTTCTGACAGATACTAAAAGTGTCGCTTAGCAGCTGTGAAAGCACATTTTTTGGCATTTGCATATGGGTAAGTGCTCAGAAGTGCATATCCAAATCCTTCTTTGGAGCCCACCAAGTTAAATTGTCTCATGCCAAGTGAACGTATATGAGGCTGACAAAATTTGCTACCTGTTTCATTCCTTTCATTTCTCATTGAAGAATATTTAACTGTTAAGTGAAGAGGAAAATTTTAAGTGCATAAAGTACCTTTGCCATTTACCTTGCGTGATGCAGAGCCCTTGTGATCCTGAAACTAAAGTCGTTTTGATACCAACCTTCCAAATATAGGAGTGAGAGTTGTAATAACTGTTTGTAGTCTTCTTTTAGATGGCTTCCACCTTTTAGGACATACTGGATGTAGTTAATTTTCACTCATTTTTCTTCTAGAAAGTTTGAACAGGACTTGATTCATCTAGCATTGTCGAATATGACTTATCACATGAAGCACACAGACTTAGGAACTTTAAAAAAACCTGGATGTCAAGAACACTTGATGGTATGCCACAACACTTCTTTCAATATTAGTTCATAAGTGTGATGTCAGCTAACCAACCAGAATAATGTTCATCTGAATTCCCCTTCAATTCTTGTACATGCTCCTTCAATCAATCCTCTATTATATGCTCTAGTATCAAAAGAAATACTGATGATATTGTCACGTGGCCCAAACTCGTCCACTTCCTGAAGAACTACTTCATCCATCTGCTCACCAGTGCCTTTCAGGACAACAGGTATGCCAAGAAAATGCTCAAAATCTTTGCCTGTGTATAGAAATGCAACTCTGTCTTCCAAAGTACTGGCACTGCCATGGGCAACTAAGGGCAAAAGTTTACTATCCCCAATGCAAGATGAAATGAAGAGGTTTCTCAAAGAATGATTGTTCGATGTTTTTGCCATTTTACTTCTGTTGATTGTCCAAGCTTGGAAACAGTAGCTGAAGATATGGAACTTTTCAAAACATTGTGGTGAAGGTTCTTTCCAGTTGTTGTAAATAAAGTGTTTGCTTTTCGAATAATTGTTCTCAATTCCAAGTAGATGTGAGTGTCTGATCAAGAGGTTTTAATCTAGGCCTTGAATTTAATTTTTTCATTGCTGGAGGCAAAAACTGGGCCTCTTCGTCACTAGATGCTGACAATAATGGATATGAGTCTTCCAGTGTAACTGTCTTATTGATTTCAGTGATAGCTTTGTAATGTTTATTTTCATTTGAATAATTTTTGTCTTCTTTTGTACACTTAGTTCACCTAAGTGTTCTGACAAACTTATACAATCTTCTCTTTGTGACCTAAGAAATTCTTTATCTTCTTGTGATATGCTAATCATATCCATCACATTTTGCCTAGAAATGTCAAATAACTCAGCAAGATAATCTTTCCAAATCTGCCATTTCACATTTTCTTTATCCATGTTTCTCGATTTCTCTTAACCCAGATTTTGGCACTCTTTGTACAGCTTCTGTGTACCAGTACAGATATTCGTCACTGTCTTAACAGGGATATTTGCTTTCCTCCACACTTCCTGTAGTTCAGTAATGGTAGATTTAACAGCATCCAAAAGTATTTCTTTCATTTCTTACCAATGGTAAATAAAAACTAAAAGTACTTGTTCTTTTGAAAGGAGCAGAGCTCCTAAAAGTTAGCTACTATGCCCTTTTGTAGCAGTCATATTTCTTTTTCCATTTTGAAGTTCACTTGCACAGTACTCACAAGTACTTGCAAAGGATTAAAGAAATACTTGAGAAACCCATTAATATAAAGCATTTGAATATTAGAAATTTCACTAGTTTGAGATAAAAGTGATCAATGTTTGCAACCCCTAAATATTATCCAATCTTCTTGAAAGTTAGCATATATATCTTTTACATCACTCAGACTCGGGGTGTAAGCATAGTCTTATGAAAGTCACATCGTTTGGAAAATGAAACACCCTGATGTATATTCATAGCTGCCAAACCTGAATTGTAGATTTCTCTGTAAAATTGTTTACAAATTTTAACCAATATTTAATTGATTACTATTTGTATTTAATTTTGTTTTATATCAATTAATGGTATGTTGCTAAGTGTATCTACACAGTGTGTATGGTATGCATATTAATTATTAATTATATTTTCCTCATATTTAGAAGTACTTAGATAAATAAAAGCTATTCTTCTGTATGAAAGTCTTAAGAAAATTAGCCGAGACATAAAATTTTTAAAAAATAATTAAATATTAAAATTACCATACAATTTAAAATTCAAAATCAAGTGCTACTTAAATATTAATATATTTTATGTTAGAATCACATTGAAATTAGCTCAGTAACTTGGATTGTGCATTATAAACTGAATTTAAAATAACCTTGGAGTTCTTTTGTAATTGTGGCCATGCCTTGCAAAAGCCTCTCACACACTTTTGCTTTTTCATATTTCAAGTTTGACAACTATGATATATTTAGATGTGCAATAATTGCTTTTTATGTATTTTAAAAACATGGTCTTTTATTAATGTTAAAAAATGAAATTTTATGTGAAATGTATTTTTATAATTCTGCATATTGTGTACACAGTGTGGCGATTAGGTAATTAGAATGCATAAAAAATAGTTACATAAGTTATGTATATTACTCAAAATCATGAATCTTCTGCAATATGGTGGCATATTCAAATAACAAAAAGATGACTTTTGTTTGTGTCTTACAAAAGTTGATAATAAGACAGCTGATGTCATAATTTGGATATTTTTGAGAAACAGAGGGGAAAAAAGAGCAAAAGAAATTTCCATGGAGGCAGAAATTGCAATACAACGTGTTTGGAACAAAGGTTTTATTAACTGAATGGTGTAAATGCATCACTAAAAGTCATCTTGGCTAGGTACTTAATGACTTTTCAAAATACAATTTGATTTTCAATCAGCAGTTTTACAAGGGTAGTTTTAAAAAAAAATATTCTCATTATTTAATTTCTACATTGTACATTTGGAATATATGTTTGGTATATTATAACTCCATTACACAAATATCAGTTATTTACTGATTTCCCTAACATTACCATATTGATATTTAATTTTTAGTATTCTCATTTAATATTCTCATTATTTAATTTCTACATTGTACATTTGGAATATATGTTTGTTATATATAATTCCATTACACAAATATCAGTTATTTACTGATTTCCCTAACATTACCATATTGATATTTAATTTTTAGTCAAGAACAACGTATTAATGAATGACAAAATTTAATAAAATGGTACTATTTATTTTCATGGTACCCTTTATCAAAATGGCGCCAAGTATAGACTACTTGGATATTGTTTATGGCTGCCGTATCTTTGTGAACGTCAAGTAGTACCAATAAAACTTACTTCAAATACTTCTTGAAATTCATTATTATCATTAAGAAAATGAACAGTTCATTATCAAAAGCTTAAGTCATTTTGTGAAAAAGATAAATCATTTATATGTTTTTCAATTATAACTGCACTTTCCAAGCTACACAAAAAAATAATCACACCAAAAATAAATAAATAAATAATAATAGAAAAATTCCCATGGTGGGATGCACCAAAGTTTTAAAATTTTTTCAGTGTCCATCTATTAAAAAATAATAAATGAATAAAATGCCTTAAAAATGATGAAAAATTATTTAAACTCAAGAATCTTCAGTTTATTCTTCAAATACTACTCAGTGGCATAATATGCTTTGCAAATTTGCATAGAAACTGTAATTCATAATTTCTAGCAATTAATGAAGCAAAATTTTGAAATAATCTAATCCCTTATACCATCAATTAGTTTAACTAATAATCAGTTTTTTTCATATTCAGTTGTAGACATGTTTTTAATTATATATAATTCTTGTGTGATTATGATGGAAAAAAAACAGATGCATCAATTCCAGTTTTGATATTTATATACTGGAAAGTTATAATCCATCTTTTGTCATTTATGCAAATATCTCCCTATTTAAATCAAAAAAAAATTTAATTACAACTGTCATTCTTTGTACATTTTAAATTTAAATTTTTTGTCTAAAAAATATAGTACAAATTTGCAATTATTATAAAGCAAAAAATAATTAAATCATTGGTATATCTTCTCAAACACTATCATCAGTGCTTGCTCTCAATTCATGTTAATGTAAATATGAATTTGCTGGTGTTGAGGGGATTTTTCTTCTGATGACAATTTTCCCTAGTAGACGATCTGAATGTTTCTGTAGTTTTTTGTAAATTCACCAGCTTCTCAAAAATGTAAGTATTATAAGTTTATTTTATCATCTGTATTAAATAATTAACATTTTATGGAATTAAACAAAATTTTAAGTTTCGATTTAATTTGCAGATTTGATTACTGTCGTGAAATAACTGTTTATACTATTAATACTGTTTTTATTTATAACATATAATATAAAGTGTTATAAAAAATAATTCCAGTCGTTTCTGATTTTATTAAAAATAAAATTGAACTATTTCAACAACTCTGCTGTAGCACGTTTATAATACATGTACCGATTCTGCTAATGGTTATTCTAAATCCAGTAGGATTCTTATGAACTTAAGAGTTATTATTGCATATAGAAAATTAATTTTCCACAAATCAAAATTAATTTGTTAATGGTTTGTTTTTATTCAGCTTTCTATCATTCTAATATCATCGTTGATAACACTGTATATAGCACTGCTTACAATAAAATTTCTTACACATTATTGTATAATTTATAGCAATTTTAATCATGCAAATAATGTATGTATAACATATACACAGTGAAGTCGCATTAATATGATGAAATCTTAAAATTTAGAATAATCATAATGTGCAGTGTGAACAGGTTCTAATAAAGTCCTGGAAAGTTTTCACAGTGGAATCATGCTGACTGCAGTACAGTTGACAGCTGTTGGTGTGAGTATGGTAGAGTATCCATAGAGTGAACAACCCAACTTATATAGGCCTGTAGATTTTTGACCGAGTTTAAGTCTGGGGAATTTGCAGCTCAAGGAAGTATAGTCCTACTTGTACTGTCCCATGTACTCATGTATATTCCTAGCTGTGTTCCCTGTTGTCGTATTAGAAGATATAATCATTTCTAGAAAAACAAATCTGCATATATGGGTGTTAGAGAGAACACAGAAACTATATAAATAAAATATATTCAAAGCAGTTCATTCAATTGCGGGCTGCCTCTACCCGAGACTGGGTGCATTATGAATAAAGACAAAAAAATTCTTAATAGCCAATCATTCTTTATTTCCATCAAAACAGTATCACTACGCTTCCGAGATCAGCTTTCGTTCTGTCCTACACGGAAAACATTCGAAAACACTCAGCACGCAGGCTGACGTCACAAACAGCAGCGCCTTCGCGCCGGTTATTACTTCAGTTCATTTCACAACATCCTCCCCCCCCCCTTGAGACTCAGGTTGAGTCTCAACTCATAACAAACATTATTTAAAAGATCAAGTCTTTTTGGAGCTTTTACAAGTCGTCCAGAGGAGGAATATTGTTGCATTCACCATTTTATCAGGTGCAATTCCCCCCTTTTTAACGTACACCCAGCTTACTAGAATTAGATTCCTCTGCACCCAGTTTCTTATCAGGAATTATGTTTCTATCATTGGACTGTATCTCCAGAGGAAAGATGCGTTGTATTGGTCGTACAACTATTCCATGCCAAATTATCTTAAGTCTTAAATTTAACCGTACGAATCTTTCCATCACGTCCAGGGATCAATTCTGTAATTCGGGCTAAAGGCCAAAAAAAAACGTTTTGTTATTCATCCCCCATCAGTACTATTTCTCCTACTACAGGTTCCCGAGATCGTTTTTCATTATGCTTTTGAACCAGTTGACTAAGGTATTCTTTTCTAAAGCGTTGTCTCAGATCATTTAAAAATTTAGTTCTTTACTTCAATCTCATATTAAGATTTGATGAATTTAATTCATCAAGATCTTCAACATTGGAATTTCTCTTCTCGATAAGAAACATGGCGGGTGTCAGAGGGACAAATTCTTGTGGATATTCAGAAACATACATTAAGGGTCTACAATTAATCATAGTTTCACAATCACAAATGATAGTATAAAGTTCTTCATATGATAACGCTGATTTACCTAAAGTACGTTTTCAGCAATTCTTTTACGGTACAAACCAACCTCTCCCACCAGCTGCCACAACAAGCTCCAGTAGGTGGAATAAATTTCCAGATTATCCTTTCAGTTCCTGTTTCCTTTAATACTTTAGCCCAATTTAGTTTTGATAAATCATTAGATGCACCCCGAAAATTTGTCCCGTTATCACTATAGATTATTCTAGGGCGTCCGCGCCTAGCAACAAATCGTCGAAGCGCCAGGAGAAACGCATCAGTAGAAAGAGAATTTACGAGTTCAAGGTGAATGGCACGGTACACAGCGCAGGTGAACAGCGCGATCCACACCTTTCCTCCATTTTTTAAAAACAGCGGTCCGGCCAAATCAATCCCTATGATTTCAAATGGCGCACAATCCGTAACTCGGTCTGGTGGCAGAGGTGTCGGTTCGCTTGACATAGCCTTAGTTTTAAATCTTTTACAAACGATACAGTTAAAGAGGACATTTTTAATGGCCTTTTCTAGCTCTGACTATCCAAAAAAATCTTTCTCGTAATATACATTGCATCATCTGAAGACCAGCATGACAGTTCTTATTATGTACATTTCTGATTAATAACTTAGTGAAATCAAATTTTTCTGGCAACAGTATTGAATACAGAAAAGATTCATGGTCATCTCTATTTAGTTTTCTTGTTTTAACGAACTCTCAGAATACCATCATCATCAATGAGCGTTTCAATAAAATTATAAGATTTCTTATCAGTCAGATAATAATTTTGAACCAAACGAATTAAAATTTTCTCAGAATTTTCAATTTCATACTGTGAAAGTTCAATGTTTCTATTCTTTTCAGAACCATCTTTACAATTATTTACAAATCTAAATATCCATGCAAATATTCTAATCATTTTATCATAATTGGATACACTGATTCGATGCCAAAGGGGGTGCGTCTTTTGATAGATCAATATTCACTATTTTTATCTTTTTCCTCTCCAATTCTACTTCTTTCATGCAAACAAATAATCTCACCAGTGGGCCAGTTTTCAGGGCCTTCTCGCAACCACAAGGGGCCTTCCCACCATCTAGACCGAAGCATTTGCTTCGCAAAACATCCGCGCGATAACAAGTCGGCAATATTTAGTTTCCCTGGGACATGTCTCCATGAATGACCTCGCGTCAACTCTCGAATCTCTTTAACCCTATTTTCGACGAAAACGGACCAATTTCCTTGCTCTGTTATCCACCAAAGGGCAGTGGTTGAATCAGACCATAAGTTAAAGTCGGGCAAACTGAGAGCCTTGATAATAGAATTTGCAAGTCTAGAACCTATACAACAGGCCATTAATTCTAAGCGAGGAATGCTTAAAGATTTCAAAGGCGATACTCTAGACTTCGCCCGTACGAGATTTATTTTTACTTCAGAATTAAATACTGATCGAACAAAGACGCACCCTGCATACGCCCCCTTGCAAAGCATCACAAATACTGTATATTATTATCTTGAATCATTATTGTAGTAGATGAGCAATGTAGAATAAACGATGTTTGTATACATCTGCAGGGTTGCCACGCTACCTGGAGAACCGGGAAAAGTCAGGGAATTCGAAAATTGACCAAAAAATTCGGGGAAAAGTCAGGGAATTTAAGTATTTTTGTCAAAATCTGGAAAAGTCAGGGAAGTTCATACAATGATCCCGCCAAAAAAAGCGATTTTTGCGCCGACGTCGGAAGAGATAACTTTTTTGGCGAATTGCCTATCATGTGAGTGTCTGCTGGCATAGAGCCAATTTTCGCAGCTCCAATTTGATTGCCTTTTAGAAAGGCAAAGCAAGCAAGTTTCCCGCAACTTTTGGTTTCGAGTATTCTCGAGAATCGCATGTGCAGTGCATGAACTAAAGAAAGTACCTGTTCTCGTATAAAACAAAATGGGTTTAATCTTAGTATACGGTACCATGGAGGTTAGAATCAAAGAATATGTATTGTAAAGAAGGAAAACCTCTCTGCAACAGACGTGGTTCCGTTCCATCATAGAGGGAAACAGCTGTGCATGCGTGATATATCTGCCGCCAAAGCTGGAAACCGGTGTCGAAGTTCGAAGGTCACGTTATCAAGAGTTCATTAAAGAATATCCTTTAAAATTTCTTTAACCACTTGCGCTAAAAAGACGTGCCACGCACGTCGAGATGTTTTTGTCTCAAACTGCGAGCGACGTGAACACCACGTTGATAAGCATTTATCGCAAAAATGAAAATAACATGGTGCACACGTCGCCTAACAACGAGATTGTTTATTTCTCGAGTTACAGCTCTGGATTGCACTCGCAGATGCGGAGCGGCGTAAATGAGACACTTTACCACTTGCCATATTGTAGCGCACGGCACAAGAAAATATTTTTTGGTGCAAGTAAATTAATTCATAGGTTAGTAATTTTCAGGGGGGGGGAACTACGAAAATCCATTTTTAAAATTATTGCGAAAAATCCAAGAAGAAACGTCCTATGATAAAACGTTTCTTCTTGGATTTTTTGCAATAATTTAAAAACGGATATTCGTAGCTTTCTTTTTGTCAAAGAACGTTTCTTCTTAACACGTTTCTCAATTTCCGGTACACATCGCGGAGAGGGAAATTCTGGCCGCCAGGTTCCGTCGCCAAATCCCTTGGCAAATTTTCCCTCCGCAATCTAGCGGCGTAATAGCATTTTACTTGTATGGAAAATTTTCTTCTTTACATAGACCAAAGAATTAGAGATTCTTTGCATAGACGTTTTTTGGTTAAAATAATCTCCATGTATGGATTTGGTGACATGATGATGCGCAGTAAACGGGTCATTTTGGTCTTGGCGACAATTTTCAAAATCGTGCCAAAGCCTTACCGTATACTAGAATTTTACCGCAAAATCTTTTAAAACTTTTTCTTTTTTAATAAATACCTTGCCATTTTGCAGTAAAATAAAAAATAGTAATCTGTCATCTAGGCTAACCATGTAATATAACATATTCGCTAAAATAATCGTTGACTATTCTAATTCAATTTTTTTAAGTAATTATCTTTATTTTTTGTTATTCGTATAATTTAATGATGCTTCTTCCCTCTAAATTTATTAATTATTAGTAAAAATAATATTTCTAAATTTCAGGAAATTTTCTCTGGCATAATCTTGAAATTAATTCTAGCAGTGTGATGACATACCATCACGAAATTTAATGCACATATTTTTTTTCTTATGTATGCTGCGAACTAAATATAAAATACCTCAATTTATTAAAATAGATTTCTTTGTTTCGTTTAGCTGCAGAATGTTTGCAAAAAAAGCCTTATTTTATTCCAGATTGGGAAGATTCTAATCTCAATCTTTAATGGAGAAAACAACAACTATTATAATTATATTTTATATTTGTGTTTTCAAGTGTTAAGGTGCTTTTTAAGAACATACCTCACACAAATTAAATTTACCTAAAATCTAACCTAACTATTTAGCATTGCGTTGTGATTTATAAGGACCAGATTAGCCTCGTGTTGAACTGGTGATGATCATGAGTAATAATTAAATAAAACATACATTTGTTATCCAATGTATATATCTTAAATTTTATTAAGTTTCTTAAGTGGAAAAGTAAACAAAATTATCAAACAAAGTATACCAAGAATAATTAAGAATAAATGTCCTCTGGGATTTATTGAATAATTAAGTGAATTTGCTACACAATACAAGTAATACCATAATTTACCTCTTAGCGTAGTCAACGTACATTACGCGGATAGACTGGAATTTTCTTGAAACGCACCTGGAAAACCTGGAAAAGTCAGGGAATTTCATTCTCCTGTTTGAGTGGCAACCCTGATCTGGTAATCATCACTGAGCACATACCCAACATACATAAAAAACAACACATGGCGCAGTCGAGTCCACCGTAGATTAAAAAAAAGAAAATCTTTTTTCAAGAACCATGCAGCATTGGTAAAGATATTCTAAACAAAAACATGATGGTATATTATTATGAGGGGTACATTTTTAGCTTTTAGAAACTATTTATTTACAATCTTAGAATGTATAATCACAGAGAACTGCAATACGAGCATAGTTCTATTTTTCAAATCTGTATCCAAAGTGTTGCCAATTACAAGTTACTAAATACTAAATGTTACCATTTACAAATTATTAAATATTACATCTTCCATTTTTTTAAAGAGTTCAAAAGTTTGAACAGCTTAAAATCAGTCCAAATACCTGGCCGGCTTTCTAATCACTCTCCCACTTCTAGTTCTTTGCTCACCGTTCCTTGTTTCTGAGTTAGCAGAGTTTGGTAGTTGATCTTCTAAACTTTGCCCTTGAGAATATCTGGAATGATATCCTTTTACATATGTTTTGTGTGTATTAACTCCTTGTTCTGTTCCTCTGATATTCTCTTCAACAGCTGAACTGTTTTCTCTAATATCTTTTCTATTTCTTCTCAAAACTGATCCACCTGATCTAAGTATATATGATCTAGGCATCTTATGCACTTCTTCTACAACTGCTGGTTTCCAGCGATTATCTTGATATACCTGGACACAATCTCCTTTATTTAGCGATGGTAATGTTTTTGTATGATGATCATAATATGACTTCTGTTTAGTTCTTTCTTGGTTGATTTTTTTCTTTTACATTTTTCACAACTTGTGGTTTAAGTAATTCTTCAGATGTAGGAATCGTTCTTGTTCTTCTACTCATAAGTCGTTGAGCTGGTGATCCTAGCATCTCATTATTTGGAGTGTTCCTATGAGCCAACAATGCTAAATAAGGATCAGCATGATCTGCTTGAGCTTTCTTTAACAATTTCTTCGCCGTTTGTATTGAACGCTCTGCTAATCCGTTCGACTGTGGATGGTATGGACTGCTTGTTATATGTTTAAATTGGTATTTCTTAGCAAATTCTTTACTTGCAAACTGAGGTCCATTATCAGATATCACTATCAATGGTATACTGTATCTTGCAAAATGAGATTTCATGTAACTGATCACTGTCTGACTTCGAGTATCCGGTAGTTTGGAGATTTAAAATAAGTTGGAATAGTAATTAATCTACAATTAATAAATATATGTCTTTGTTAATCTCAAATAAATCTGTCGCAACTTTATACCAAGGTAAATTTGGAATTTCATGTGGTATCATAGGCTCTCTTATGTTTTTGTTCTGGTATTCATTACATATAGAACATTTTGAAATTTTATCTTCTATCTGCTTGTTCATAAGTGGCCAAAACAAAACATCTCTAGCTCTTTTCTTACATTTTCTATACCAAAATGACTCTCATGAATTAAATTTAACATTCCTTTTGCATAGATAAAAGAATAATTACCCTTCCTCCTTTGAAAAATAAGTCATTTTCCATTGTCAAACTCACCTCTATAGTCCCAAAATACTTTGACTTGAGGTTCCACCTGATGTTTCCTTTCTGGACAGCCTCTCAGAATATATTTCTTTAAGCACTATAGTGTAACATCACATTCACTTTCTTGCTTCAATTCATAAATTTTTTGTCATCAGATGCTGGAATCAGTGTACAAATTTCTGTATCTTCATCATTATCTTCTTCTGTTGTATTCAAATATGCTCTACTTAAAGTGTCTGCTATTACTAAGTCTTTCCCCTTTTTGTATCGTACATCTAGATCATATTTTTGTAAATTTAACATTCTTTGCAATCGCTGTGGTGCTTTAAAAAGAGGTTTCTTAGTTATGCTTTCCAATGGTCGATGATCAGTTTCAACTGTAATACGTTTGCCATATATATATATATTAATGAAATTTAGAACATCCAAAAGTAATAGCTAAAAGCTCTTTTTCTATCTGAGCATAATTTTTCTGACTTTTTGTTAGAGCTCTGGAAGCATAAGCAATTGGTTGGTTTTCTTGTAGTAAAACAGCACCTAATCCTTCAGAACTTGCATCTACTAAAAGAGTTACATCTTTATTAACATCATAGAATTTTAATACGGGTGCTTTTGCAATCAATTCTGTAAGTGCTTCGAAAGCTTTTTGATGCTTTTCAGTCCAGTGCCAGAGAACATTTTTCCCAAGTAACTGTCTTAATGGTGCAGTAATAGTAGTTAAGTTAAGAATAAATTTGGCTAAATAATTAATTATTTCCAAAAATCTTTGTAGCAAAGGAACATCTGTAGATTCTGGTATTTTAACAATTGCTTCCACTTTAGAAAAATCAGGTTTTAGTCCATTTTCACTTAACTCGTGCCCTATATAATTCACACGATTAACTTTTATTTTACATTTAGCCTTATTGAACTTCAAATTATTTTCTCGTGCTCTCTGGAGTACTTTTTTAAGTCGTAGCTCATGTTCCTTTTCATTAGATCCCCATATTAAGATATCATCTATAATACATTCAACGCCTTCTATTATTTGGCAAATTTCTGGAGCTGAGCATATGTCAAAAAGTAATCTTTTAAATTTGTATCTGCCAAAAGGTGTATTGAATGTACACAAATTACTACTTTCTTTGTCAAGCTAGATTTGCCAAAAAGCACTATTAGCATCTAAAATAAAAAATATTTTTGCATTTGCCATTCTAGTGACAACTTCGTCAATGGTTAACATAAGATAATGTTCTTGTTTTATAGCTTTATTTAAGTCTCTAGGATCTAAACATATTCTTATTTTGTTAGGTTTGACAACTGTGACCATTGAATTTACCCATTCAATTGTTTCTCTTATTTTCTCAATAACATTTAAATTTTCCATTATTTGTAATTCTTTCTTCACTTTATCACATATAGCTATGGGTATTTTTCCTGGAGGATGAATTACTGGTGTTGCATCTTGTTTTGACTGGATTTTATAGTCTCCATTCAAACAACCTAAGCCTTCAAATACGTCTTTGTATTCCTCCAGTAAGTGTTCAGTGTAAACAGACATTACTTTTTGAATCAAACCTAGTTGCAAACATGATTTTAATCCTAATATTGAAGGTACTTCTTTGTCAATAACTTGGAATTCGACAACATAATTATTTTACTACTTTTACTAAAGTATTCATTTTATTCCCACAGAATGTAACTAATCTTTTAATTTTAGACTTCTGTATCGGAACATTTAGCAATTTCACTTTGCTTTTAGAAATTACATTGCACATTGCTCCAGTATTTAACTGCAAATTTAGTTTACTTTTATTTACATTAACGTCAACAGTCCATTTCTCTTCCTTATTATCTGAATTAGGATTTAATGTGCTTACATAAAATTCTAACTCTTCCTCAGAGTCATGATTTATTAATTTAATTTGTCTATCTTTTTTATTTACCTTGACTGCTTAATTTTTTATTATATAGGTTTTACATTGATTCACGAAATGATTTGCCTTTTTACACTTATGACAGATTTTTCCATATGCTGGCCACTTTCGATACTCATGAGACTTTCCACATTTAGAACAAACTTTTGTCTTTTGTTTCTCGGTATTTACCTCTTCATAGGTATTCTTATTATGTTTACTTAGTTTCTTTTTCACTAAGTTTACAACAGTTTTCTCATCTTTTATGATTTTCATTTGATGTGCACTTCTTTCAGCAGATCTGCATATATCAAGAGCTTTTTCTAATGTTAATTCTGTTTCATGTAACAATCTTACTCTCACTACATCATCTTTAATACCCCAAACAATTTTATCCTTTATTAAACTATCCGTTAATTGTGCAAACTCGCATGTTCTACCTTTATTTCGAAGGTCAGTTACATATTCATCTATGGTTTCTGACGCGGTTTGATTTCTAGTAAAGAATAAATGTCTTTCATATGTAATGTTTTTTTTAGGAATACAATATTCAGTAAACTTTGTCTTAATTTCACTTAATTTAATTTCTTTACCTTCTTTTATAGGAAATGTATTATATATTTCAAAACCACGAATTCCTATTACATGAAGAAAAGTATTAACTCTTACCTTCTCTTCTTTATTATGTAATACACTAGCTACTTCATATATTTCGAATGATTGCAGCAATCTTTGCCAATTTGAAGCAAGATTTCCATCAAATTTCATCGGCTCTGGTGGTTTTAAACTTTCCATTTTGAAAGCAAAATACTCCCAACACCATATAGAATAATGAGGGTGCACTTTAAGTTTTTAGAAACCATTTATTTATAATCATAGAATGTATTATATTGTGGTGATGGCGATAAGGAGCGCGCCTTGCGCCCTCCGATAAGTGTGGCACCCCTAGAGGAGAGTTTTCTTACGAGTAGCGAGCAGAGCGAAACAGGCCGGCTGTCGGGCAGTGTGCGCGTGGTTCCGAAATAAAGCTTAATTTGCTTAATTTTTATTGTGCACTATGTCTTGTTAATATTTATATTAATGCAGTAAGAATCTGTGATATGGAATTCGAGGATTAGTGGTTAAACATATAGGAAATCACCATAATATTACAGAGAACTGCAATACCAGCATACTTCTATTTTCATATATCTACCCAAAAGTGTTGCCAATTACAAGTTACTAAATATTAAATGTTGCCATTTATTATTACAACATGGATCAAATCGTAAAATGACCGTAGATATTTGGTTTGCCTCTGCTTCATTTGCCATTGAGTTTTTGAAACCACGTTTTAAACTTACCATATTTGGAACTTTACGAAAAAATACAAGAAATTCCAGATAAATGTCTGAATGTAAAAGAATAAAAAGTAGGTGCATCTTTGTTCTGCTTTGATAGCAAAATAAGTCTTCTATCTTACTAGTCCACGCTATATAGAGCTTTACTTCTAAGGATATGCAGTGATAAAATTCATGAATGCGAAAAGTAACAACCGGATATTGTAAACTTTTATAACTCGAGAAAGGTGACGTGGACACTTTTTATCAGATGTGCAATCAAAAATCAAGCAGATGGCCTCTTTTTATTTTTAATAGAATTTTAAATACAGCTTTAATGAACTCTTATGTTATTTATCGTGCGCTTATCAGGATCGATCCCGATGAGAATTTACGAGAGATGTAAGTGCTGAATTGTCAAACCTTGGTCAGAGAAGGGTGCAGAGTCAAGTAAGAGGACAATTTGTGCATTCTGCCCTAATTCTAAACGGCAAATAACCATAATGTACTGCAACATGTGCTCAAATGCTATGTGTGGTGAACACAGGGAAAATATTGTCTAAATTGTAATGAACACATGGAAAAGTTGTTTTCTTTGTATATGATGAGGATATTTTTTCATTAATATTTCGATGTAAAATACTTTCGGAAAATTTTTAATTAACCCACGTCCTGAAGTGCAGTCAAATTTTTTATGTATGATTAGCTTCAACGCTTCTCTGTAGTAAGGTGAGCTTTCTAGAGTTAAAAAAAAAGTTATTCATCCTGTTTCACTCAAAATAGAAAATATTAAATTACTCTAGATATAATATTACTTAAATTACACTTAACACTCAAAATTACAATTCCAGTAAGCTTAAAAACACAAAATAAAAGCATAAATTGAAGAGCTCACCAGCTTCAATGTAAGCTCCACCGCGTCTACGTGCTTAGTCTCTTTTCAAACTATAAATTTACACAGTTTATTTTTGGACATTATAACTTTACTAAACATTTACAAAGGTTTAACCTTCAACCAACTGATTTACGTGGCCATTTGAAAAAATGAGCCAGAAGATGTGAAACATGTGGCCTTTTTTCTTCTCTACATTTAAATTAATCAAGTCACGCTATCGGAAGAGCTTGTGGAGTTTTGTTATACACAGGCCAATGAAAGTTGATGACTTTATTGCTTCAAACCAGATTTTTTTCTCTTTTGTTAATTTTGTCAGTAACTGCAATTTAAATCGACTTTCCTCACTTTTTTTTTCCCACTTTACTGCATAAGCCCATGTTATGCTTGCTTGGTATAGGAAGCCAGTGTTTTTTTGCTTTAATTAAAAAAAATAATTTAAAATAAGATGGTTGACCTTCTATGGCTAGATTTAGCTTATTATGGCACAACGCACTAGGTCTGTCTGCCTACAGTGTGATTATGATGTGACATCAAACACTCTTTTTGAAACCTAATATTACTAATCATTATACCATTAAACTTTGCAACAAAACATATATCAATCGTGCTTCTAAAAAGGTTCGGTTAGTTGATTTTGGCAAAACAAACTAGGGCTTTCTGTCTAAGGGCAAGGATAGCCTTCTGGAGACCTTTCTAAGGGAAACTAGCTCGTATGTGCGTTACATATGGGGGAAACCACGGATGGTCCAACCCCTTCGCCTAGAATCTAACGTAGGTCATAACTACCACTGTTCATGAATTGTACCGCTCAGCTGCTGGCGGGCGGTTTCTAAAAAGACTATTTTATCTCAAAATGATATTTAAAAATTGCTACTGAAAACATATTTCTTGTCAATTCAGTTAATTCATATAAAGGATTAATCAAAGTTTTCATTAAGTATGAATAAATATATTCATAAAAATAATTTTATTAAATATTTTCGTGAATAGAGTAATTCAGATACTAATTACTATATAAATGTCCGCATCGTAAGCAACAATGCATGTTTAATTAATTACGCTGCGGTTTCTGCGTTAATGAAAAATTTCGTTCTTATTGTTTTTCCAGCATCAACGATATTTTGAATTTAAAAACAACTTGAAAATAAGGTAGCATTAGTTTTTGATAACTTAGCATGATATTTTAAAAAGTACGTTTTGTAGAAATGCATATATTTTAACTAAAAATTTTCTTTCAGCTATCACTCGTGACATAAAACTATATACAGTGTGAATGCTTGACTTTGATTAGTAGTTTGAAAGCGCATTTAGTTATTGGAATGTTAATGTTTAAAAAAAGAAAGTGAAGTTTTAAGAAGGAAAATGAAAGGGCAACAAAATTTCAAAATCAAAATTAGAAGTGGAGCTAATCGCAAATTTTCTCGAACCAAACCAGAATCTTAAAATATTTTTGAATTTTGAATTTTTCAAATAAGAAGAATAATAGAAAAGGGGGAACTTTATTATAAGATTTTAAATTTTAAAAAAATCGAATGATGCTTTAAGGTAAAAATTTTAAGAATATAGTTAAATATATCAGTATTAAATTTAAACAAAGATATTTAAAAATTCATGTACATTTATTAAAGAGACACAAATTAAATTAATTAAATAAAGTACGTAATTAAACTTCTTGAAATAGGAAAAGAAGCATATGTCCAAAGAACATACTCGGGAAACTTTCAGTGTGCTCTTGAATTGAGTAGTTTAGCATCTACTCTTTCAAACACTAAGTTGGTACTAAACTGAAATTAATCGCTCTCTTCCCAGAGTCCAAGCTAGCAAATAATTCTTCTTGCTCTTAAGATTAAGAGAAAAGAATTTGTCAACTATTTAAGAATAAAGCACGCTAGTACTAAAAGAATAAGTTAGCACAAAATGCTGCTAAATTATAAATTAAGTTTAAAAGCATTGTTAGATTCAACTATCAGTAATAAGACCCGAACTTTATCATGTAAATATATACATGAACTACATGAAAGCAAAATATCTAAGAAATTAAGACATTGATATGAAAGAACAAATTAAAACTAAGATGCTAAAACATCGATTGGAACAAAAAAGTAGAAAGTAAACAAGGGAAGTAATCACGTAAAAAATTTTTTTTAAATCTCCCTGTCTAAGCTCTATAACAGAACTTGTCAAGGGAAAAGTGTTTAGGTATTTGCTAACTATTAGTTAGGAATTAGTACATTAGAAATGAATATTAAAAGTTATAGGTTGTCTAAGATAAGGATCTGAGAGCCTTAATTTCTATTGATGCGAAGGGGGACTTAAATCATTTAATGACACCATATATTATTATGAGAGAACACTTTTAGCTTTTAGAAAATATTTATTTACAATTTTAGAATGTATAATCACAGAGAACTGCAATACCAGCATAGTTCTATTTTTCAAATCTGTATCCAAAGTGTTGCCAATTACAAGTTACTAAATATTAAATGTTACCATTTACAAATTATTAAATATTACAGATGGGAAGTTGTTTATAGTGAAATCGAAACTTCTATCGCTGGTAAGTGCGTTGTTTATTTTTATTTGAAATGGCTAAAAATACGTATATATAAACTATTTAAAGTTTTATATTAAATATGGATGAATTAAAGCCACCAAGTAATCTAAATTTCGAAGGTAATTAAGCAAAAATTCAAAGAAATGGAAACAAAAATTCCAAATTTATCTGTTAGCGTCTGGTGGTATTACTAAATCACCTGAAATTAAAGTAGCTATTTTATTGCATATTATTGTGAAGAAGCACTTGAAAAGTTTAATACTTTTAATTTAAGTGAAGAAGATAAGAAGGATGTTGACAAAGTAATCGAAGCTTTCGAAAATTTTTGCATGCCAAAAGCAAATGAAAGTGTCGATAGACATATTTTTCTGTCGAACACAACATGTAGGTGAATCGGTTGATGATTTTTTAACCGATTTAAAGAAATTAAGTAGCAACTGTGGATTTGCAGAACTAAAAGATAGTTTAATAAGAGATAGAATAGTAAGTGGAATTCTAAATAAAAATCTCAAAGATTTATTAAGGGAAGATCAGTTAACATTGGAGAAATGTGTAAAGCTTCTGAATTAGCAGAACTTCAACTGAAAATTTTAACTGAAGAAAATAAAATAGAAGCGATCAAACGTAATAAATTTCCACCTTCAGAGGAAACCTTGTAAGAAAAACTATCATGTAAAACAAAAGCAACAAAGTACTATATCTTCTTCAAACTAAAGTTCCAACTACAAACTTTAGTCGGAAAATGTAAATTATTATGTGAAACATCGAAAGGGGACAAGGATGAAGCAGTGTTAAAAAATTCTCACCAAATTTGTTACCTCAACAACTATTTATTACTCGGAAATAACTCTTTTTAGTTATTTATGACTCTACAATATTTAAATAATTCCTTTACTCATACTCTCAAATGAGGAAAACAAAAGTTACACTAACTCTCTAAAAAGAACAACATAGTATGTTGCCATTCTTTGAAACATAAACTGTTACAAAACATAGATAATAATAATATGAATATATAATGAATAAAAAAAACTACAGGGTAAAGAAAACGTGCTTGAAGCTCGTGCAATATTACTCAGAAGCTACAGTTAGGAAAAAATATTAAGAGTCAAAATATTGTTCATCTTCCCACCTTGTAATATGAAATTCGGGATTGAGTATATT